GCTCGAGGCGGCGCTCGCAGATGGTCTCTGCCGACAGGTTCCCCGTCAGGCGCTTCCGCGGGAAGGCCACGTCCTCCAGCTCCGGCCCGAAGCGCTTCAGGAGGGCCTTCTGCAGCCTCTCGAAGTCCGAGTAGCGCCGCTCCACCACCGCCATGTTGCTGTCGAAGCTCCCGGTCTGGACGACCACGACCTGATACATCTGCAGGCAGAAGGGAGGGGCTAGGCTCGGGACACCCCCAATGCACGCAGTATGTGTATAGTCTTGGGACACTCCAAATGCACACGCTATGTGCGTGTGCATCGGGACACCCCCAATGCACCCAGTGTACGTGTATGTAATCTCGAGACAGCCCTAATGCATGCAGTGTGTGTGTGTGTGTGTGTGTGTGTGTGTGTAGCCCTGGGACACTCCGAATGCACACGCTATGTCCGTGTGCATTGGGACACCCCCAATGAACTCAGTGTGTACACGTACGGAAAGGCTAGCCTCGGGACACTCTGAGTGCACACGCTGTGTGTGTGTGCAAGGACAACTTGTGGGAATTAGTTCTCGCCTTCCACCTTGTGTTTCTGGGTGGTCAAGTTGGGCAGCAAGTGCTATTCCTGGCTGAGCCATCTGGCGGACCCTCTGCCATTTTGTGTATGCATGTAACATACTTGGAGACTCGTCCACCCCACCCCAAACTGTATTCGCTATCAGTAAAGGTTGCATGGCAAATATTGGCCCTAGAATAATAGTGCTTAGAAGCATCTTGGAAGAAAAAGAGCGCAGGAACTTGGTGGTGGACTTGGGGTCTCTCTTAGCTTTTTATCATAAAAATGAGGGCTCCAAGTTCTGAATTGGGAAGCGTGGGCTGGAATTGGGAGGGCTTGTGTGGACCACCTGGGCGTTTGTTTCCGGTATAACACATTTAGTCACATTAGTCTTTGGTAATTTAATCTCTTTGAGCTTCCCCTTCACTAACTCGAGGATAGGAATAGTTCCTCTTTTCTCCATGAGGATTAAATCAGTGAGTGAACTCATTAATATGAGGGAGAGCCGTGCCCAGCATGCACTGGTGGCTATTTTAACTGTGCTGGACCCCGTGAGGAGGAGGGACGAGGAGGCCTACTCCCAGGGAGGTGGGAATTACTGAGGTTTGTGTGACTCTTCTATCTTCTAGAACATGTTGATTTTCCAGTCTCACAAAGATGGTAGCTCTTAGCAGGGCGCTTCCCACAACCACGACCAGCAGCTAGAATTTAATAAGAGTTCAGCTTTCTTTTCTGTTTGCTTTTGTAATTGATTTTTCTTAGTGTTGTGGGAAACCAATCTTTTACTGAAATGTAGGTATTTTTTTAAAAGCCGTTTGAATAAAAACCAAGCACGTAGTTTGGATGATAGCACAGAATCAGTGGAGAAGGGCTGCAGATAGCTGACACCTGGCATTGCGGGATCAGGAGCGTGACTCACACATCTCTAATCTTCATGGGACCCTGCATGTGGAGCCATGAAACCTCCATTTCTCGGAGGACCGTGAGTTAGTGCGTCACGTCCTGGCTGGAAAGTTGAAGTCTCCCAAGACCTCCCCGGGAGCATGCGGGAGGTGACTGACAGGGGCTTCCTCACATCTACGCTCTGCTTACCACAAACTTGGAGACTCTCCTCTCCTCGATGCGGGCTGAAGCGATCTCAAAGAGCAGCTTGACATGTCGCCAGCGGCTCTTCTCCTTCTGCCAGTGTTCCTGTAGCTCCCTGGTGGTCATGCTGGAGTTGGAGCTAGGACCGTCCTGGGTTTCTGGAAGGATAGTCCCGTTAAGGAGTTTGCAGTAGGCAGTGCCCTCTAGGCCGGGGCTGGGGAAAGATGACTGGGTCCGCTTGGCTTGGGCCATCAGAGTTCTGGAAGGGCCTATGCTTCCTCTCACCCTCACTGCTGGGGCACAAGCCAGGGCCCTGTGAATGCACATAGTGCACTGACCTCAAATAATGCAGCACTCACTGCTTATTGTTAGGAAGTGCACTGTGGGAGAGTTGCATTACCCGCTTCCAGCCCGCTGATGGACCATTCTATAACCACGGGTCCTGGTAACCAGGGACGTGTCCATGTTTGCTTCTGTACTCCCTACAGCGTTGACTCCAGGGAGCCGTGGAGCCCATGAGTGCACATCAGTGTGGTGAGAAAGCCCTGAGGGGGTCATATTTCAGCCTCAACTGGGGGGCAGGGAGGGACTTATTAGACTAACACTTTCAGGGTACACCTGCCACTCTCTGCTTTGAAACCAGTCCTCCTGTTTCCTTGCCTGGAACCCAGCAGTGTTTTGTATTTTTAATTGTTGTTTCGAGGCAGGATTTTTCTATGTAACTCTGACTATCCTGGAATTCTGTAAACCAGGCTAGGCTCCAACTCACAGTGATCCGTGTGCCTTTGCTTCCCAAGAGCTGGGATTAAAGGTGTGTGCCACCACCGTCCAGCTTTTGACGGTGTTTCTTAAGCCTCACTTGAACCACACACCCTTTTTAGAATCTGTGTAGTTTCTTCCAACACTACTGCATAAATAATTGTGCAGTTATTGCAAGAGGTGCAGGCTGGGAAATCCTTATCTTGTTTGTGTCATGTGACTCACGTGTTACTCTCTCCCCGCCCCCCCCCCATAGTGGAGTAAGTGCCTCCTCTTTTGTTCCAGTAGCCTCTTTGTGGCGTCTCTAATTATTTTTCACTAATGGAGACTGAGCTTGAAGGCTAGGAGGGTGATCAGTTTTACTTTCCAGCAAGATCCATCTTGAATGGGTGTAAAGAGAGATTGGTCCAGGAGATGGCACTATTGCAGGTATCGTCAGTGCCAGGCTAGGACCCATTGGCAGCCACTGTTCTGGGAAGCCTCTCAACTTAGAATCCTGGGGCCTCTCTAGGACCACAGCAACATGCTTGGGTATCTCTTCAGCGTTTGGAGGAAGGGATGGTGGACAATCACTGGCTGCTTTGTCCCTTGGATGCACACCTTAGTTATGTTCTTTATACCTTCCCCTGGGCCCCCACCCAGACTGAGTCCCAGGCACCCACCCCAGTCATGGGATCATCCACCCCCTATACTGGGTGCTGCTCTTGTTTCCAGTCCCTGCTCTGCCTCCGACATAAGGAGCATCTCCCACATAAGGAGCCTGCACCAAATCCTTGTCTTGGGGCTTCTCAGGAGTGACCCCAGTTAAGACAGTTACCCAGCTTCTTGGTGCAGTCACTGAAGAGCTTCAGATGTCTTTGAACTAACTTCTGCCCCCCACCCCCACACTGAACCCCAAGATCTCAAGTTTACCTAAGTGTTCTTCTGGTCCTGAACATGGGAGGTCTGGGCCCGAGGGCAATACTTCTTGCCTGGTTCTTGGTGTGCACTGGTGTATGGGTCCTGTCCAGCCAGGGCTCCCAGGATGCTCCAGACTTGCCATGCTCCAAGGCTGCTAGAGGTGTAAAAGAGAATAGTGAGAGCCAACTCATGTTGGGGCTTCTGCAAGATCCTGGGGTGCTTGGGATTCTGGCTGTAATCTGTGCTGTCTAGCATGGAGGAATACCAATAATGATCACTGTGCTTGGTCCTTTGCTGCCCACCCAGCCAGATCAAACCTAGCCTTCCCACTGATGGACAGACAGATGCAGCTGGGGCTGTGATCCATGGAGTGTACAGTTTCTTTGGATTCCACATGTCGTGTCAAGTGACAGCAATAACTTTGGAAATTACCTGGGAGAAAGATGCTGGCTACTCTAGATAAATGTCCCACCACCCAGTTTCATATTACAGTGCACCCCATGTATGTACTTTTAAGCAAATATTCAATGTGCCTAGTTCATCTCAACTGGTTCTTCAGACTTCATTTTTTTTTTTTTTTGAGACAGGGTTTCTCTGCATAACCTAGGCTTGCCTACAACTCACAGAGATCTGCCTGCCTCTGCCTCCTGAGTGCAGGGATTAAAGGTGTGCACCACCACTGCCTGCTCACCCTTCCTTTTTAATACAACCCCCACAAAACTTTGCCACTCCTGCCTAATAACAGATACGGAAACAGATCTAACCCAAGGTCTTGTGGTTGGTGAGTGTACGAAGGAGCAAGATGGAACTGTCTCCACAGACACACACTGAATTTGTCTTCACGGTCTCAATCTCACTTCCCTCCTCTACAGGGACTGTTTATATTTTCATTTTGTGCCAAGGCTCTGAGATGCAGGGCTGCCTGACAGCAAACGCTGAGGTGTGGGCTGGGACAGAAGCCCAAGTCGGCTGACGATAGGATCTTTGCTCTTATAGAAGTGGACGGGAGGCAGACAGCAGGCCAGCAGGCTTCTAGTGTCCAGTGTGTGCACATAAGGAAATGGATCATTTGGCAGCTGTCAGCCACGTAGCTGCTCTATGCCCCGGTGTCTTATAAAATGGGTACAGTATCAGAACCTACCTTCACAGGCTGGGCTGAGGGTCAAGCTAGGCCTACCCCATAGAGCTTGGACTCGGAGTCCTTCACACCGCAGGGACTGCACAGTCCTTTCTGTTACTAGGATCTGATGTGCGTTAGGTGCGTGAGAAATAGTAATGAAACGGCTCTAGAAGTGTATGCCTTTGACAGATAGCTGCAGATTAGAAGAGACACAAAAGCCTCCTCTCAGATGCACAGATGGCTGGGCACCCTTTTAGGCCCATGTAGATTTTCTTCTCATCACTGACAACGCCTGAGTTGAACAACTGACGGAGGAAGGGCTTCTTATGCTCAGTTTCAGATTTCAGCTCATCATAGCGGGGAGGGCATGGGCAGAGCACAGCCGCTCCCCTCCAGGTGGCCAGGAAGCAGGGAGGAGGGAGGAAAGGGGGAGACTATGCCTACATTAATAGAGGCTTCTCCCACTTCTTTTTTAACATGTATGTGTGTGTGTGTACATGTGCATGCATGTGAGTACATGTGCATGTGTACTCACACATGCACATGAAGAGTATGGATGTCATATGTCATATGACAGCTTGCAGGAGTGGGTTCTCTCCTTCTACCACAGGGGTCATGGGACTTGAGTTCAGGTCATCGGTCTTAGCAGCAAACACCTTTACCTGCTAAGCCATCTCACTGAACCACACTTCCCTCTTTTCCTCCTAGTCTTTTGGATAGTGCTACTACCCACATTCAGTGTGGGTCCTTCCCCCTTACTTAGTCATCTGTGGAAACACCCCACGGACACACCTAGAGGCGCACTTCTCCTTGGCTCCCAGGGTATGGTAAATCCAGTTAAGTGGGCAAGATTAACCACCATAGTACAGGAATTGAAGGCAGGGGTTTAATGATGTCACCATCTCTCCAGGACTTTTGGCCTGGCCTATGGGAGGCTAGCTGGGCTGAATCTATGCCTCAGGGACTGTTCTTGACAGAACATGGAAGGAACCCTGAGCTGTTTTCTAAGCAGTGATCTAATAAGTGTCTTCAAGGACCCTCCATCAGGCCTAACATTTATAGGTGGGCAAACTGAGGCATAGAGCAGGGGCCTAACTGACCCAGGGCTGTAAATGCTTGTGTACTCAACAGATTGTGTGTCTTGCCAAACTCTCAGCCCTATGGAAGAGTCAGGAGATGGCCTCCATCCCGACTGACTACGGCCCTGGGGCAAGTTATTCACTATCTTCTGTTTTCCATTTTCCCATTTTCCTCTGGGAAGGAAATACAGCCTTGTTCCACTGTTAGGACATGGTGACGGGATGGGTCCCTCTTCTTCCGCTAAGTCAGTGGTTCTCAACCTTCCTAATGCTGTGATGCCTTAACATAGTTTCTCATATTGTGGGGACCCCAGCCATAAAATTATTTCATTGCTACTTCTTAACTGTGATTTTCTACTGTTACTAATCATAAAGTAAACATCTGATATGCAGAATCTGTGACCCACAGGTTGAGAAGCACTGTGCTAAGTGCTAGCTACAGGTGGTCCACATGCTGTTATTTTTAATGGAAGCTTTTTTTAGCCCAGACTTCCTTTAACGCATACTCTTCCTATCTCTGCCCCCCAAGTGCTGGGATTGCAGGTGTGTGTCACCACACCTGACTTATCTAATGGGGACTTAGTGTTTTCTGTGGCCCTTATGCGCTTTTCCTCTATCATTTTGTCTGTGAAGTGAATGGGGGTGTGTGTAGGTGGCCTTAGTGGTCAGTGAATGGTGGTGTGTGCAGCTGGCCTTAGTGGTCAGTGAATGGGGGACATGTGCTGCTGGCCTTAGTGGTGAGTGAATGGTGGTGTGTGCAGGTGGCCTTAGTGATCAGTGAATGGGGGAATGTGTGTGCAGATGGCCTTAGTGGTCAGTGAATTGGGGGGCATGTGCAACTGGCCTTAGTGGTCCAGGTCTTTCCAGATGTGTTTTCTTGATTTGAGACCTTGGAAGACCTCAGAAATGTGCCTCCCTCCCCACCCCAGCTCCTGAGCATGACAATCATTCTTCCCATCTTCTGGGTGCCCTGATCCCCACTTTTAAGGCTCCTGCCTCTTCAGTCCTACCGGGGTACACAGGCCACCTTTCTTGGGGGTTGCAGAGGGGACGAGCATCTAATAGAATGTACTAAAAGCCCTCGCTATTCCCCCGCAAGAAAGAAGAATTGAGAAGAGCCCGTTCAAAGAGAAGAAGGAAGGAAGTGCCAGGAGTGGCAGTTGAGTTTTATTCTAAGCCCCTTTCTTTCTTGGGCAGGTTTCCCGGGTCTTCATTGGAGCAGTATCTGGGGCATCCCCGCCTGCCTTGTCAGGGAAGGGTTAGCGCCATGGGACCCCTGGTGCCTCCTTGTGAGGCCCCCATTGCAAGAAGGGAAGAACTCTCAAACATGGGTGTGCATCAGAATCCCCATTGGGGTTGGTGAGAGGAAGTGCCCAGGGCTCTAGAAAAAGGCAGGCTGTCAACCTCACAACACCCAGACAGCCTTGGGGTGGGCTCTGGATTCTGTACTCTGTTTCAGGGTCATTAGTTCCAGTCTTTGAGAAACGCAAGTCTAGACCTGTTCCCCAGAACAGGAATGGTGCCTGACATTTCAAAAGGAACCAGGACTAGAGGTTGAAGGGGGTATGCCCAGTTTGCCCCCCCCCCCCGGTTTCTAAGGAAAGCCCTACTGGTAGAGGCTCTCACCAGCCTCGATCCCTCCCGCTCTGTCCCCAGCAAGTTCCCAGAGGACCTCTCAATGAGATCAGAGTCTCAGTGGGCAGAAGCCAACTGAGCTTGGGGTCAAACACTGACTGACCTGGGATCTTCAGGTTCTGTGGGTCCACGGTTCCAGGATAGTCACATGCCCCTCTCCGATCTCTGTTCTAAGGCCCAAGGAGAGACTAAGATCCGACGAGATGAGACAGTTGAGTGTCTGCTGCTCCACTGAGTTCTCTGTTTGAAAACAGGAAATAGGCTGAGCGATCTGCCTCAGAGGCCCCAGCTTATTGGCTGCTGAAAGATGTTCATGGAACCCCACAGACGTGTGTTTGCAGTACCTCAGAGAGGCCACCCACAGGAGTGCAGTTTGACCTCACTTCCTAGCAGCCTCCAGACACCTGAACCATCTCCGGCATTCGGAGCGTCGATCCCACAGTCCTTCATCTTAGTTCTTTTCCGTGGCAGTGACTAAAGACCACAGACTGAAAAAATCACACACAAACATTTTATTTAGCTCATAGTTCTGGATCTGGGACATGGAAGAGCACAGCAGCAGTGTCTGGTGGGGGCTCTCCTGCTACCCCTGACACGACGTGGCAGAAGGACAGGCAAGAGGGAGCCTACCTCATATACCCCAGTTTCACTGTTATGGCATGAACCTTTTATGAAGACTGCCCTCATGAAGTCACCCTCATAGGTCCACCTCCCAAACCCATGGTGTTGGGGTTCACAGTCTAACACAAGGATTTGGAGGCACATCCTTTTAGGAATCATTGTCCTAGTTATGAGCTAGGCATAACGGGGTCCTCATGTTCTCTTGACAGACCAGAGGACTGAGGTCTGAACACTGGGTTGGTGGAATGCCGACCCAGTGCCTGGCATGGAAGGGCATACAGTGGCCTCCATGCTCCTCTTTGGAGTTAAGCTGTGTCCATGATTAGTTGACAGAAAGCTCCAGGCAAGATAGACCTTAGCACAGGGATGTCACTTATGATCACCAGTGTGTGTGGCCTTAGGAGGAAGAGGCTAGAGAAAGACGAGAACTAGAACCTTTTTGTCTCGCCCCGAAAGGCCTCTGCTGTCACTCTAGCCATGCTCTTCTCTCCTGGGCACAAGTGGTCGTGGCCCTCTGTCCCTCCTTCTTCATAAACTTGACCCTAGGAATAGATCCATGATTCTTGAGCCTCATTTTACTTCCCTTTGAATTTTATATGCATCGATCCATGTACACTGCTTGAGTTCTTTGGTGTCCTGTTTCTTTCCTTCAGTTTTTATGTGTGTAGGAGTAAAATGGTGTGTGTGTGTGTGTGTGTGTGTGTGTGTGTGTGTGTATGTGTGTGTGTGTGTGTGTTGCTGAGTTTTATATTTTCCTCTTGCTCCATTGTCACCTTATTTGGCATGTCACTACTTTTCCTTTCTGGAGCTGTGATACCCATTTTCACGGTTTCTAGAGCGTCGCCATAATTGCTGCGTTAGTTCCATTCTCAGGCATTTAACCAAATCTATGTGACTGTCCAAGGGGACTCTTTGGGTCTTTGAGGAAGAGAGTCTTCGACTGAACTGGGCCAGGTCACTGCCGGGGGTAGTCATCTTGCACCTTCCCAGCTGCTAATGAGCCAGGCTGCACCTTCTCTGTCCTCGACACGGTTAGTACTTCTTGTAGCCATACTACAATGTGGTCAGTGGTGTCACCTCATAGCTTACACTGTTTCTCCCAAAGATTAATTATGGAGGACATCTTTCATGCGCATGTTTCCCACCTGTCTCCTCTCTAAGTCCGCACTCTGTCTTTTATTGAATTACTTTAATGGCTGGAGAGAGACCATTCATGTTCCCTTGGGTACATGTGCTTCTTCATCCCTCTCCCTCCTGAGGCTCACATTTGCACTTAATGGATTGTGTGATAAATAGACATCGTCAGCCGTGCTCGACTAGATCAATCTTGCTTTCCACAGTCACGGAGGTTTTGCCCTTATTTGCATCTGCTTCAACCCCATAGGCCCTCAGGAAGCTTCAGATGAGTCAGGATGTGCTAAGCATTCGATGGTGTCATGCTGAGCGTGTGAGGGCTGGCAATCGATGCCATGCTGCAATCTTCAGTTTGCCTTTCTTCTCGGGGCTCTGTACTACACCCCTTTACCTGTCTGTTTGCTTGTGGAAGTGTCACCCCATCCTGTCTCTCTGCACTGCCATCACCATCATAGCAAGAACACCCATATCCATTAGAATTCCTTCCCGGCATGGGCTCTAGAGAACTGTTGTGCATGCTGTGTCTCCGGTTTGCTAGTCCTGGCGGCAAGGGCCGTATCTCATTGCCTCTGCCTCACATTGCCTGGAAGAAGGCCCAGTGTGGCAAGGAGACACGGGTTTGCAGAGAGGCTGTGTTACTCTGCCCTCCTCTTCCCACCTTGCAGCTGTCCAGTTTCTTGCCCAACCTCTGCCCAGGCTTGAAATCTGTGAGATGCCTCAGCAGGCTCCACATCCTTCTCCACACCCTATGAGCTCATCACAGAGTTAAGCAGCCAGAGGGGACTAGTGCGACAGTCTCTGCTTCCTCTTTTCAAGCCGGGGCCCATTTTTTGGAAACCACCTGACATGGAGGTTCTGTTGGAGGAACACAATTGGGCCGGTGTGACCAGAAGACTTTGTGACCTGCTGGGTGTTGATTGTTCTCTGCAGCCCAGAGCCTGGTGGGGGAGGGGAGAGATAGAAAGGCCGTTTTGTCCATTTGGACTGCTCTAACAGAAGGCCCTATGCTATGTGGTTTAACCAACAAATGTTTGTGTCCTACAGCTCTGGGGCCTGGGAAAGTTCAAGATCCTGGTGATGGCAGATTCAGTGTCTGGTGAGAGCCTGTTTCCTGGCTATCTTTTTGTTGTGACCATCCATATTCAGCAGAGGGCTAGAGAGTTCTCAAGGGTCTCCTTTTTAAGGGACATAGTCCCAGGTCTTCACCCCATGACATGGTCGCCTCCTAAGGCTCCACTTCTCAGGGCCATCAGATTAGGTGTTAGAATTTTGATACCAAAGTCTGAGACATATTCAGTCTGTAACAGAGATAATTGTGGTAGGGTAGGACAGAACAATGGGCATTCCTTGTGGCAATACCAGGGTCAGATGAGGGTAAAGGGGCACTATGGAGTCAAGAAGGGGAGATTCTGGCATCTAGGAGTCAGATGCCAAAGTCAGAGGGTGTCTCCCCTGCTCTGACCTTTTGGTAATGTCCCACCACATTCAGAACCAATCCAGACCCCATCCTCTCTCCTCCCTTCCCAGAGTCACTGCTATGTTCCCAGCATTCCTTGCTGCCCTAGCAGAGCCATGCTGGAGTATGGTGGAGGTGCAAAGACTCACCTAGCCAGGAGTTTCCTTTCTGGAAATACCCTTCTTTAGGTTCTTTCCATGTGGGCTTTTCCTTCCCCCGGCTTGCAGCTTCCCATCTATCTTCCTGTCGCTTCTGTGGGCGACACCTCATGCCATCTACCACTGTTGGCATAGCTGTTGGCTTATTGTCTCAAACACCATACCACCAAGGAGCTGTGCCCATGTTGGTGGGCTGCCCCCAGCCAGCACTCAGCACAGCGCTGTACTTACTGGTTGCTCAGTGGGTCACTGCTGTGTGACAGGGCTCATGAGCAAGCAAGTGAATGGTGAGGAAATTCAGAAAAGGAACTGGGTTGTGGCTCCAGCTCAGGGTCAACCATCGCGCCTCTCTGAATGCCAAGGAGATTAAGCCAGTCCTTTTTATGTGCAGGCACTCTCCCCAATGCCTCAAAAATAGAAAGTAAATGAATAAATTGCTGCTCACCACCACTCCAGATATCGAACGTACTTGAGACTACAATACTGAAACTTCTTTTGAGAAATTAAAAGGAATGATCCCCAGGGAGGATCTCTCTAGGTCTGCAAAGAAACCTGAGCTGGCAAGGTGTTTTGCAAGTGACCCCAAACCTGGTAATGTCACTCTCATCTTTTTGCAGCTGTGCATGCATGATGAGCCCTTTTGACGATTTCAAAGATTGTTATTTCTGCAGGACTTCAAATTGGGGCCACAGACCAAGTGTGCTGCTGACTGACTTCATGGCTGCATTGAGATACAGTGGGAAGGACGAGGGTGCTGGCCTCATTTCTGCACTGCAGACTTGCCCGTCGCTGTGCTGAGCCTCCTAGTCTCCCCTCAGCCTCAGGATGGTCAGGCTTCTGATCTGAGTCAGGATTTACTGTGAAGTGGAGACAATGGGGCTTTTCTCATCAGACCTGTTATGTGATGAGGACATGGTGTGTGTTTGGGGGCAGGCAGAAGTGGTCTGAGATCTGGGTGGTTGGCTGTTTTTCTAGGCCACACGGATACAGAGACACTACCTTCTGAGGAAAGTTGTGCAAGGTAGAGGCTGAGGAACTATTCTTTTTTCTTTTTTTGGTTTTTGAGACAGGGTCTCACTATGTAGTCTTGACTGTCCTGGAACTTGCTCTGTAGACCAGGCTGGACTTGAACTTCAGAGATCTGCCTCTGCCTCCCAAGGGCTAGGATTAAAAGTGTGCACTACCATGCCTGGCAAGGAACTATTTTTTTTTATTATTATCAAACACTCTGTTGGGTGGTGGAATATTTACTTTGCCAAAAAGGGATTTGTAGACAGAGCTGGTTCCAGAAGCATTATGGGACAATGAAGAAGAAGGAGGCTCTCAACAAGGAGTCAGTGGGGAAATGTGGGTGGGAGAGCTGACTTTTATTTAGTGTCTGATGTTCTTAGGCTATCCCTTGTAGGTAGAGGCTGTTTGTTCCTGGCCGCTCAGACCCGAATCACACAGAAGCTATATTATTTGCAATACTGTTTGGCCAATAGATTAAGCGTATTTCTAGCTAGCTCTCATAGTCTAAACTAACCCATCTCCATTAATCTGTGCATCACCACGAGGTAGTGGCTTACCGGCAAAGTTTTGGCAGGTTTCTGCGAAGGTGTCTGTCTCCCGTAGTGGCTACATGGCTTCTCATTGACTCTGCCTTCTTTCCTCCTCTGTCTGCTTGGAATTCCCGCCTTGTTCTATTCTGCTAAGCCGCTGGCTGAAACAGCTTTATTCATTAACCAATAAAAGCAACACAGATACAGAAAGGACTTCCCATAGCAATCCCTGTTGCTGTAACAAAATACCACAGACCCTCTGGCTTATTTAAGTTTATTTCTTATGGTTCTAGAGGCTGAGGAGTCCAAGGTCAGGACTCCTGCAGATTGGGTGTCTGCCGAGGGCCCATGGCAGATGGTTGTACTCCATGGCTATCTTGCCATCATGGGATCCCTGGGTCTGCTTCATAGGGGCACTGATCCATTCCTGAGGGTCTGACCTCCCAAGCCCTCAGAGGTTAGGATTTCACTGTGTAAAGCTGAGGAGAATTCAGACATTCAGACCAGGTCACATCCACTCAGCAAAACCTTCCCAGTTCACTGATGAGCTCAGGGATGGCTTAGGCCGGGAGATGGGGTGCTGCCAGGATGCTGGCTCTCATTATGAGGTAGGAATGGAGTGAGGACAGAGGCCCGGGACACCCAGACATACGGGGTCCTCCAGGTTTGAGGCAGCTCAGTGGCATGTGCCTGACCAAACTTGTCCACCTTTTAATAAGTCACTCAACACCAAGCTTGGGTCATGCCTGTGCCAAAAGCAGAGGTCAGCAATGACCACTGGGAGCTTTGATCTTCCAGAACCCTCAGTGGGGTAGAAGAGGAGGACATGCAGGGAACATGATCCGGGATAGAAAGCCAGCTAGGCTGATGATGACATGCGTGGAGCTGTTCCTCACAGCTCAGAGCACAAGGAGACTCCCATGGGGGACTGTAGGCTGTGGCCACTGAAGGACAGGTAAGGCCCTGTTAAAGGGGCAGAGAAGGGTAAGGACTTGACCAGTGGTGCCTGCTGTGGGTAGTTGGCCCACTGTAGGAAGCCAGTGGCCTCTGGGAACCTCTGTTTCTTTGTCTTAAGAGTGTGAGCCAGAGCAAGAGACCTCGAAGAATCCATCTCCAGTGATCATCTGGCTGCTATGGTTCTACCTAGTTGGCCATACTGCCCCTATTTAGGGCAGGTCTTTCCCATTCTATTCGCCAAGCCTCTCAGGAAACCCCTTCAAAAGACTCCCAGAATTGTGCTTGGTCCATTTTCTGGATGATCTTAGTTCAGTCGAGTTGATGGCCAACATTAGCCATCACAAACTGGTTATGAGACACCGAACATGTCGGCTGTTCCTTTAGTGTGATAAACACCCTCATTTGAAAAGCAACATGAGTTGACGTTTTTGAAAGGAGACTCACTAGGGCTGCTCCATGAAGGAAATGCTGCTGGCAATACGGAGAATGGTCAGCAGTGCCTGCCTAACCTAGGTGAGTGATGAAGATCTGGGCTCAGGTAGCCATGGTAACTCTCACTGTGTGATGCTATTTTGGGGGGAGATGTGAACAAACATCTCTTCTGTAGTGATATTTTTGTTTTAACAAATAAAGCCTACCTGAAGATCAGAGTGCAGAGCTGAGCCACTAGAGGTCAGGCCGTGATGGCATACACCTTTAATCCCTGGACTCGGGGACAGATGAATCCCTGTTAGTTCAAGGCTACCCTGGGCTACAGGAAATTAATCCAGTCTAAAAGGGAAACAAACAGAGCTCACACAAAGGTGATCCCAACGCTTGGGATCACACGCCTTTAATTCCAGAACGAGGGAAGTGGAGACAGGAGGGATATGGCTGGGCAGAGAGAGGAATACAAGGTGGGAGGAGACAGGAGCTCAGTGCAGTCTGAGGAGGCATCTGAGGACAGGATCACCCCTTTGGTCTGAGCACTGGTAGAGATAAAAACTCTCTGGCAGCCACTCTGCTTCTCTGATCCTTTAGCTTTCACCCCTAATAATTGACTACAGATTTTTATTATTAATACCAATTAGAATTCAGGCTACACTCCTTACTCAGAGAATTGATGACAGACGAAAGCCAGGATACCACCAAAGTTCAATGTAATGAACCAACAATCTTTTAAAATATTTATTATATATATAGTGTTCTGGGCACCAGATCTCATTATAGATGGGTGTGAACCATCATATGGTTGCTGGGAATTGAACTCAGGACCTCCAGAACAGCAGTCAGTTCTCTTAACCTCTGAGCCATCTCTCCAGCCCTGAACCAATAAGTTTATGGGGTTACTTATAGCAGCAGAAATGGTCCACAGACAGCTGCATCACCAAAGCCCACTCCAGCATGGGTGACATCTCAGGAAAGCCAACGCAGAGGTGGAAGATGGAGGATCGGCTCTTCAAACTCATCCTCAGCTTTAGCACCTTCTGGTCTACCCAGGCTAGACTGTACGCCATCTCAAAACAATGTAAGAAAAGTTAGTACAGTCTTTGGTGCCTGAGGCCTGGGACACATCCTGAGGGCGCTGTCACTATGTGGACAGGCCAGTGAGCCTTCCTGACACATCCTGAGGGCGCTGTTACTGTGTGGACAGGCCAGTGAGCCTACCTGGGACACATCCTGAGGGCGTTGTCACTGTGTGGACAGGCCAGTGAGCCTACCTGGGACACATCCTGAGGGCGCTGTCACTGTGTGGACAGGCCAGTGAACTGCCCTGTGTTTCGCTTTCTTCATGCAGAAGTTAGGGACAGGAACGGTACTCTGCGGGGGTGGGGGTGGTAAGGGAGCTACTATGAGCACAGGTCAGCACACAGTCAGGTTCAAAAGAAACTCCAGACAAATGGCTATCTGCCCTACATAGCAGAGACCATGCTGGCCTCCAGGCTCACTCAGTACCTGTATGTCTCCTCACCCCACCCCCTACCCTAAACTTCTCCAGCTCCTGGGCTTCCCTCCCCCAACTTCTCATTCCTGTGTAACCCTGCCATTTAGGCCACGTACTCTCTTGTCTGGTCCTCTTTTGTCTTCCTCTCTTGGTCCCTTCTCTCTTGGTTGTCTCTTTCTCCTCCTCTCTTGCTTCCGCCCCCCGCCCCCCATGACCCAGGTCCCATCTGCTGGCCATGTTCAAGCTACTACTTTCTCTCCCTGCTCTGAACTCTTCCAGAAGCCTCTGGTTGTGCTCTTCCTCATATGGACAATAAGAACCACACCTCAACCATCCCTCAGGGCATCATGTCCGCATTTTATACACAAAGCTCCTGGGTCAATGTCAATTATTATCTTTATTTATTTATTTATTTTTTGAGGCTTCACATTCAAGCGTTTAAAAAATAACATTAAGAAAAGAAAGTTACAAATCGAATGAATGCAACAGAAACAACACAATGCTACTGAATGCTGACTGGGATGGTGGCAGAGCCCAGCCTAGGGGACTGTGTGGGAGGCAAGTGCTACAATACTACTCTGTGACTTCTCTCCTCAGCCTGCGTGGGACCGACAGCCAAGGGGGAAAGAGTAACTTTAAATGTCCCAACAAGTCTCCACCAGCACAGTCATCTGGGAATGCAGCCATTAAGACTGTGGCTAAGAGTTTACAGCTCCCTGGGAGGGGGCATCGGTTCCTGCTGGCAGCGAAGGCTTTCCCAGCTCTTGTTCCCGGGACTCTATGGTTCCCTCCTGTTTGGAAAGTGGTCTAGAAAGCGAGCCACACAAGGGCAGGACTCACAGCACCGCAGGCAGGCCTCTTCTTCCGTGGTACTGGTCTCACCGATCCCTTGAGTGAAATCAGGAGGGGTGTGGCCGCCCTTCGGAGTCCGCCAGAGTGGGCGGGGTCTCCAGCTAAGTGGGAGGGGTGACGGGCGGGGCAAGATCAGCGAGGGAGACCTGGAGCCTCCCCGGCGGAGGAACCCCGCGCTGCAGCTGGCGGTGAGTGCTTGCCTGCTGGTTCTGTGGTCTGCGGGTGCTCGGGGGTGGGTGGGTGTGTGTAAAGGAGGGTTTTCTGGGGCAGACTGAGGGCTCCGGGCGACTGCACTCGGTGTGGTGGAGACCACGAGCGCCTAAAGTCCCATCCTCGGAACACTGGTCACTGCCTCTGCCTCTGGAGCTGGCCTGGCTGCGCTTCTGGAAGGCAGTCTGTTTCCCCTGGAAGCATCAGCAGAATAGATAGGCTGTAGAAGGAAAGGGGTGTCTTGAGGGGCAGACTGTGGTCACAGGGGATGAAGAGGTCTAGGATATGGGAAGCACATCGAATCCCCCAAGATCCTTTGAAGTTTGAGGGGAGGCTGAGATTTGAAGGTGACTGGGACAGTGGAGGGAAAACTTGCAGGTTTTCCTCACCCAGAAGGAGGAAATCTTGCTTTGGGTCACAGCAGGAGCTATTCCTGGCCTAGTTGTCCCTTCTCTGTGTGCCTCAGTTTCTCTGTCTTTAGTCTTCAGAGATACTCTCTAACCCCAGCTGCTGCTCCATGGTCTTTGCCGGTGTCTCCTGCCTATCCTTACTCATTTGTGAAGGTGGGACCTGGAGTCAAACTCTGCTCCTGCCCAATGCCAGCCCAGCACTCAGCCTTCAGGCTTGGTCCTCTCCTTTGCTTCCCACGCCATTGGTGCCCTCTGGACAAGCTAGCTCCCAAGCGTTTGGGTAGGTCGGTAGCTGGCTGAAGCTCTGACTTTCTGTGTCTCTCTCAGAGCCTGCAGGGTCCTGGCCTGGAGCAAGAGTGTTAGCTTCCCTGCGGGGTATGATCTCCCCCAGGGTTGATGTTCTGTAGGGGAAAAGCTGACCCTATCAGCCCCCTCTGCCCTCTTAGCAAAAAGACCAAAGTGACATCTCAGTTGCCTCTCTTCTGGTCAGTCTGCTGTGAGGCTATTGGAGTCTTGCTCTCTTGGCTCCATATCAGTTGGCCTCCTCGGGCAGCACCACATTGGCACTGGTTCCATCTTGCCCCTCTCACCCAGGTCAGCACTCGGTGTGACCCAGTAAACAGGTTCTCACTCCTAGCAAGGTGGCTTCTATGCCCATTTAGTTAAAGTCTGCGCCTTGCAATGGCTACTCTCTGGTTCCACGGCCACCTCCCCAAGCTGTGTGGAATATGCAGATTCTCATTCATCCAAATCCCGTCTATGCACTGGGCAAAGCACAGGGTCTAGAGAGGAGCTCCAGCAGAGTGTTATGCTAAGATGACAGGAAGGTCTCGGGGAGAAAAAGCTGGGACATGGCTTGGGGACCACAGTTTCATATAGCCTAGATAGACCCCTCGGAGACAGTGACCACTGAACAAAGTCGGAAGGAGGCATGTGGCAAGTCATGTGACTATCTGTGGGACAGAGTGCCCTGTGAGCAAAAAACATATGCAGAGGCAGGAGCATGGCAGACCAGAGCAGGCTCCCCTGTTGTGAGAGTGAGGAGGCAGGCGAGGGGCTAGAGCAGGGTGGGAAGGAGGGAGCAGTTGGGAGCTACCAGGAAGAGGGCAGGAGTTGAGGTCTCTTGTATTGGGCTTGAGGTTGCTATAAAGGCTTTTGGCTTTCACTATGAATATGATGGGAGCCACTGGTGGGCTGAGCTGTGAACAGATAAGGCCTCTGCTCTGACTCAGGGTCTGGCAGGTTCATCTAATTGTGAGGCTGAGATTGGCCTATCGGGGTCACAGCAGATGAGGGAACCACGAGGAGGCTTTAGGGCTTACATCATGGTATAGAGAGAGGTGGAGAACCTGTGGCTTTCAGATGTGGGGTCTATGGAAGGTTGGGTGGATAGTCTGTGGCGCTTGAGGGTGGCAGAGTCAAGGATGGCTCTGGAGTGTGTGGCCACTTTCACTTGAGCGAGGAGCTGTTACGAGGAAGGCCTCGTGATGGCTTTTGTCTGTTTGGAGATGCTGGTGGTCACCATGTGATGTTGAATAGTGTCCTGAGTTGGCAGTGACTTTCAGGCATCACCAGCACGCAGTTGGGAATTAAGCCTGTGGGGAGGTGGGCTTATGCAGGGAGAGAGTAACTCAGAGAAGAAGTGGCAGTGGTTCAGATCTGGGGAGGGGGCGCTGGTCTTGGAGGTAGAATGGATAGAAAGAACAGCTCGTACCCGAGGAGGAAGATTAGAGAGATACCTCATGGCCTTGAAAGAAGTGCTTCCAGGAGGAGAGTGAACAGGTAGAGCAAATGCCATGGACAGAAAGGGAGGCCAAGAACAGAAGGCCGAGAACTGGAAGTCAGGGCTTGTATTCTCCTTGGTTGTGGGTGTGGGAGGGGGAGAAGGCAAAAGGCAGGACTTGGGGATGGCCATTCAGGCCCGCACTAGGGAGGCCAGAAATGAAGGACAAATTAGTCCGTTCTATGATGGGAACTGGTCTCCTAGGGAGCAACTCAGAGTGCGAGGGAGGGTGAGGTTAGTACAGCCAGAACTGGACAGCTCAGAAGCTGTATTCTGCACGCCTCTGGGTACCTCCCTTCCTCTCCTATCTGCAGAGGCCTGGGGGGCACTTCAAGGAGAGCTCAACCCTCAAAGAACTCCAGGAAAACCAGGCTACCCATGATCCTGGGAAGGAAGGAGGTGCTAGGCATGTGTATGTGGCAGGAGGGTGCGGGGTCAGGATGAGAGAGGCCTTCGTAGATACCCTTGACCCTCTGTTTCAGTAAGGAGGTGCCCCCTTTGTTTGGGTTCCATCTTTCACAGCCTAAGAGTGATTTTAAGGTGCATTAGCTGGATAGTGAAGACAAGGCAGGGCAGACAGAGCAGTGTGTTTAACCTGGAGAGGGTGAGTCTGACCGGGTAGGAAGAAGGTGCGAGAACAGGATTCTAGGATCAGCTTTTATGAAGTGGTGACAAGAATAATGACCCTTTTATTTTTCTCTTCCAATCTTAGCTGAACAAGATAAACTAACGAAGATAAACTAAGATAAACAGCTTGTCAGGAGAATAGTAGCAAACCCAGGTTTGGATCTTTTCCAACTGCTTAAGAGGAGATGAGAAGATGGCCTACTCAGAGGCAGGGAACTGGCAGAATTGGTCTTCGGGGCTATGCCTTGCTTTGTGTTCTGCAGGAGACTGGCAAGATGGGACTTTCCAACTGCAGGTGGGAGGCAGAGCACCAAGCCACAGGCTTTCCTGCCTCACCCTGCCTGTGTCCACACGGCTGACGTCATTGTCTGGGCGTGTACGGTTCGGGCATCTGGCTGGCTCTTGGCATAACTGGAGAGAGCTTCTGCTCTCTCCCAATTGTTTCTCTCTGGGCAAGCACATTTGTTGGAGACATCTCGCATCCCCAGGGTCTTTGAGTGAAAGCCAGTGTAGATGTCCCAGGCCGTGTGCCAGGACTGCCAGGAACCGGCATGTTCTGGGTGCTGGCCCGCCAGTTCAGGCTTCCTGCTCAGCTCCTGGGATTTCCCCTAGGGTGGGTCGGCTGGATCAGGGACGGCCTGTGCAATGTTCCTGGGCTTTTGACTCATATACTCTTCCCAGTATCCTGTGGATAAAGTGAGCCAGGCATTCCCTCTTAGTGCTCATGACCCTCCAGATTTCCCGGCTGCACTTCGGGCCTCAGACCAGAGTGCTGCCCCGGCCTCTGTGCTGTTCTCTGAGTAGGAAGGGTCAGTGGTTACTTTCCTCAGAACCTGAGCAGGGCTGGCAGGGTAGCTGGTGCCCCAACTTTGGCTGGTTTGCACAGTTGAGAAGCACCCCATGACTTAGTTGCCGCTCACGCTGCCCGTTGCTGTTGTTCACCTCTCCCTGTTCTTGGCTCCTCTGCTTGGACTGAGCACAGGGCACAGTTGATCTGCTTGGCCAGTGAGAACTCTCAGCTCCTGGCTTACGGTCGCCTCCATGGTTGCCTCCATAGTAGGGATACTTAGGATTTCCTAGGTAGGGATACTTAGGATCTCCTAAGCTGCCAGATGCTCAGGTAGCTTCCCTATCTCACTTTCCCTGTCTAGCCAGCACATCAGTAATGTGGTGCTGAGTTAGAGATTGAAGATAGATCCATAGCATTCCAGCCCCAGGCTTCCCAGCATCCCCAGGGCTTCTGTCGAGCACAGTGCCCTGCAAAGCTTTGGGGCGTCAGAATGAGGGAGGTCTAGCCTGCAGTGGGAGCCTGCCATCGAGGGGAGATAATCACTATCTAACAGGAAAGGCTGGGACTCCCCAGACCTTTTCCAGCTGCCCCCTCTGCACTCCAGGAGTGTCTTTAGAGTGTCCTGGATTGCGAAAGGAAGCCTTCCTTCCTCTTCCTCCGCCTCTGTACTCTTTCACTTTCGTTTTCTCTGGGCACTGCCCCAGTCCTTATCTTGGACAGTGGCAATGACAAACTGGCCCACTGAAGTTTTCTGATTTTTCTCTGCGGCTCAGCGATCTCTGTGCTCGGAGCTCCTGCTGGGTGGCCCCTTCCTCGCAGAGCCCCAGCGCTTGGGACTGAAGGCTGAACTCAGTACCAGCTCCTGAGAAGAGCGATAGCAAGGTAGCCAGCAGTGTGTGCTGCTGAATGCACAGCAGGGAGCAAGGGCCTTAGAGGTGTGTGTGTGTGTGTGTGTGTGTGTGTTGCTGTCGGGGTAGCATATCAGTAGGTTTCAAGATACCCCATTTCACCAGACACCCCGTTTCACCTGACTTGGCATCTTTGGAGCCAACCCCAGCTCTACCATGGAGCCGTAATGGGTTATGTGCAGACAGCGGGGCTGGGGACCTGTGGGAATACTAAAGGTAAGAGAAAAAGGTTTGCACCAGCAAGAGACACACTGCTTGGGTTCCAGTCCCAGCCCTGTCTTTCCCAGCTATGACAAATACTACAAAATCCCTTGCCTGCGTGCCTCAGTTTCTCTCTCTGTAGATGGGGCTGGCCACAGCACCCGCTTTCTAGAAGCTGAGAGTGGGAAATAAAATATTTCGGTAAGGCCCTGAGGATGCACTTGACGGATCCAGTGGTTCCAAAGCTGTAGGACTGAGTGTGGCCTGCGTAGAAGGGAGCTGATCCGCAGGGGGCTACTTCTCCTGCCAGCTCTGCTTTGTGAAACTTGCTAAAGTGAAGAGAGCAAGCATGGTTATGGGAGCCAAGGGCTCTCATGGCTGGCTGCTTTAAACTCATGGGACCTGCAGCTAGTTTCTTGATATCCTGGGGCCTCACTTTTGGGGGAATTGGAGAATGTCTGAGTACAGCTGTGGCCCACTTGGACTTGGGGTAGGTTGCTGTCTACATAGCCTGGCTTCCAGTGATGTCATTCCCTGACCTCTGACCTCTCCCACTTGACTTCTCAAGAAACCATTTCCTGACCTCTGACCACCCCAGCCTGACTCCTAGAGAAATCATTTCCTGACCTCTGACCTTTCCTGCTCTCTTATAGGCTATGACATGTGCTCACAGGAAGACTTCCAGGCACGGAGGAGCCAGCTGGTGGCACTGTTGGTCTCGGGGTCCTTGGAGGGCTTCGAGAGCATCTTGGACTGGTTGCTGTCCTGGGATGTGCTGTCCTGGGAGGACTATGAGGGCCTCAGTCTCCCTGGCCAACCTCTCTCTCATTCTGCCAGGCGCCTACTGGACACAGTCTGGAACAAGGGTGATTGGGGCTGTCAGAAGCTTCTTGAAGCTGTCCAGGAGGCCCGGGACAACAGTCACACCCTTGAACTGTGTGACAGCTGGGACACTCCCTCCCTCCATCCAACCAGAGACCTGCAGAGTCACCGGCCAGCCATTGTCAGGGAACTCTACAACCATGTAGAAGCCGTGCTGGACCTGGCAAGGGAGAGGGGATTCCTGAGCCAGTACGAATGTGACGAGATCAGACTGCCAATCTTCACGTCATCGCAGAGGGTAAGCCGTGGCCTGTGCCAGCAGAACCCACAGGAGCGTGCTGCGCAGTCACCACGACCGTTGCTCTTGGGCAGTCAAGCCCACGAAATAGCACAATGGGTGGGATTTGCCACGCAGAGTTGGCCAGGCGGGTCAAAGTTGCTCTTGGTCGGGTCAGCATGTCACTTTTGGTGGGGGCAGCAGCTGTGACGTGGCAGTGCAGGGCTTGGACTCAGCAGCCAGAATGATGCAAGTTCAAGAGCAGTTCTGTGTGACTGGCAGAGCTGTATAGAAGCTCTCCAGCTACTCTTCCCGCCTTTTCCCTTTCTTCTTCTTCTTGTTTGCAGTGCTGGGGCCTTTCACTCCAGCCTTAGCCTCTATCCTTCATTTCTCCCATCTCAGTCTCCTTATCCGCACGACACTCTTAGCCTCAGGGATGCGCAGGGACTTGGGGCGGGCTCGCTGAGTTAACCCATGCATCAGTTAGAGACGTGTCTGGGAAGCCCATTCTGGGAAGCCCATTAACATCGTCCCTGGCTGCTGTCATTTCTGCTGAGTGGCTCTCTGTACTTGTAGACTTTTATTTGCTATCTGCTTCAAAGCAACAGCTCAGTGGAGAATAATTCTGCATTACGCTAAATCTGAATCTAATAGTATAGGTCTCCGTGCGCCAATATAGTTTAAATGCGCACCTAGGATTTTAGATATGAAACTGCATTAGAATTGGAGATAACCGCCCCTGAAGTGCAATGATTCAACAGAAACCACAAGGGCAGCAAAGGATCACTGAGTATTTCTGAAACGTCTATTATCCTGTAAACGGTGGTCTTTAGGCTGCCTGGGAAGCAAGGAGAATAGAAATACTCTACGATTTCGAGAAATCTGCAGTAGTGAAGGAGACAGTGGTGGACTCTGGCCTTGACCCATTCATTCGCTGGAATCTAGGAGGCTTACTGCATGCCAGGCTGTGTTAGAGCTGGCTGTGCTGAGAACTTTGCATGTGATAGGTGTTTGGTCAGGTACTTGTGGATGAAATAAGTAAGTTATTAGGACTACATTTCAGTGTGAGGATGGGCGAGCTGGACTTCAGGTGAGTCTGGGTAAACAAAGGCTGAGGTGGATGAAGTGAGTGTCCCTGTTTCCAGTGTCCCTTTCAAGCTGCTCAAGGTGGCTAAATCTTTACAGAACACACATGACCCGGGCCTTCTCACTGCTGCACACAGGGCCTGAAGGCTTGCCCCAGTGTGCCTTTCGTTGGCATTCAAAAGCACCTATTTCTTGTCCCTCCTCGGTGCCTCCTGTGACCGGTTGTGGAGACAGAATCGGTTCATGTAGAAGTTACCAGATTTGACCTAGTGCTCAGTGGTGCATCCAGAGAGAGAGTCTCTGAAGGGTTTGAAAAAACCACCAGATGCTTAGGCCCCAGAGGAGATGAAGCAGGAATACCAAAAGTATCGAGATTGTCCAAGAAAAAAAAAACTGGGAAAACGTACAGGCCAAAGAAGCGATCAGTGGATGCCTATAGATACCCAGAAAGAAACAGAAAGGAGCGCGTGGTCTTACCTAAATCTATGGGATGCAGCAGGACAGAGGGACCTTTAACCTACTAAACAGGAGAAAGGCTGGATTTCAGTGAGCAAAGACTCCATTCCAAGAAAGAAGTAAGTGGGGCCAGCCACCTTGGATCCCAGCCCTCAGTGAGTTTCAGGCCAGCTGAATCTACTCTTGTGTCAAAAGAAAGGAAGGAGGGAAGGACCAAGTGGACCCCAAAAGCCAACACTGAGGATGAGGGAGTTGACTGACGGATGTGACAGTGGAAAGAACAGTGAATAGCAGATCTGAGGATTTGGAGGCGACAAAGAGGGTCCCACAGCCCGAAGTTAAATGATTAGAACCCACTTTTCCTTAGTTCCCTTGGGCACTGGCATTCCGGGATCCCTGGCTTTCTTTCCCTCTGTGGCTCAATTTCTGACTCAGTGTAGGTGTATGGTATTTCCAGCTAACATGTGTCCAGCATTAACCCCTTCATTTCTTTTTTTTAAATTTATTTATTAAAAATTTCCACCTCCTCCCCCTCTTCCCATTTCCCTCCAACTCCCCCCACTCCCCCTCCCTCTCCCTCTCCAGTCCTAAGAGCAGTCAGGGTTCCTGCCCTGTGGGAAGTCCAAGGTTCCCCCCCCCCCGCCCATCTAGGTCTAGGAAGGTGAGCATCCAAACAGACTAGGCTCCCACAAAGTCAGTTCATGCAATAGAATCAAAACCCAGTGCCATTGTCCTTGGCTTCTCAGTCAGCCCTCATTGTCAGCCACATTCAAAGAGTCTGGCTTGATCACATGCTCCATCAGTCCCAGTCCAGCTGGCCTTGGTGAGCTCCCATTAGATCAGTCCCACCATCTCCATGGGTGGATGCACCCCTCGCAGTCCTGACTTTCCTTGCTCATGTTCTCCCTCCTTCTGCTCTTCATTTGGACCTTGGGAGCTCAGTCCAGTGCTTCATTGTGGGTCTCTGTCTCTATCTCCGTCCATCACCAGATGAAGGTTAGTAGGATCAAAATCTGGTGTCATTATCATTGGCTTCTCAGTCCGCCCTCATTGTCAGCCACATTCAGAGAGTCCGCATAGAACCTTCATCTGACGATGGATGGAGATAGAGACAGAGACCCACAATGAAGCACTGGGCTGAACCCCTTCATTTCTTTCTAGAGGTGGCTATCATTGGTTGAAGGCTGAGAACGGAAAACACATCATGGAATAAAGCAGAATACCCTATTTCCCGAGCAGGTGCAGAGAGCAGGTGCACCAGGCTCAGGACCAGCCTTCTTTCTAGCGGTCCACTTAAGCCCTCCTACATCCTCCCAGCGACGGAGGGTGTGTTTGCTGAGAACGAAGAACAAATTGCCCGTTTGCGAAGGTCTAACTAGAAACTGAATCTAGGCCTGTCTCTTTCCAGGGAGTGCACACTTCCCTTTGTGTCATAAGATGTGAAAGCATTCTATAGTTTTGCTCAGCTGGGAATAACAGTTGTTGGGAAACCTCAGGCTGGCAACGCCAACTGTGATACCAGCTGTCTGCGTGACTCATGCAGATGCTAAAGCCAATGGGGCTGAGGTGACAGACTGAGCTATAACTTGCTTGCTCCTGTCATAGTACCTACTTATACAGTGGCAAATTGGGAAATGTGTCAATACCTACAAAACAATACATTTCAAATGTCCACCTCCAGATTAAGAAACTGCATGTTATTGGTACCTTGCCCTTCAGGTGCAACCAGTGGAGGCAATCAATGATCTGATCAATGTCTGTTAATCATTCCTTTGGTTTTTTTTTTTCTTCAGTTTCTGTGTCTTTTGTTAGAAGTTTTCAAACAGTATGTTTTATTTTAAAAAATGAAGTAGCAAGCTACACGTATGATGTCAGGAAACAGCAAGATTGCCATTTCTTCTTAGATGAAGGCTCCTAGGTCAGAGTAACTTACCAGGGTCTTGGGATGCAGCCTGGCCTCTGCTTCCTTGGGAGTCTACTAGGGACCCTCTAGTAGGTCAGTGACAAGGTCATTGGTGAGTACAGAAATCCTGAGCTCAGAAATCCTGGGCTCGTTCAAGCTGGATATCTGGCAGAGGAGGTGTGAGGCACGTGGGAAGGATGCCGGGAATGTGGTCTGAGGAAGTGGGCTGTGCTGCCCAGTCTGCTCTGAGCCCATTAAAGCCGATTCTGACTTTTAGGAACAAGTTGGCACATCTGTTGATGACACCATTGTCCTCAGCTGCCATAGGCTGGTGTCCTCCATTTTGGTAGACAATATATCCCCTGGTTTATCTTTTCTAACAGACTGTTTAGAAGTTGAATTTTCCTGGTGTCTCCAGCTTCCCTCATAGTTGATTGACAGCCCGATTAGGTATACAGTCCCTAGTGGCACCTCTGTAATCCCAGCAACTTGGGAGGCTGTCAGGAGAGGAGCATCTGTAAGGACTGTGTGCGCTGCAGAGTGAGCCATTTTAAGGATGGTCTGGTCAATTTGGTGAGACCCTGTCTCAGAGTTAAAAGAGCTCTGGAGCTATGCCTGAGTAGTAGAGAATTAACGTGTGGCACCCCAGGTTTAATCCCCAGCATGCAAGCCAACAAACATTCTGGCCATCATTTTCCTTGGGAATTTTGATGGCATTCTTTCCTTATCGTCCCTGTTTAGTGCTGCCACGAAGCCTTCAGAGACCATTTTCTCTTTCTTAAACTGGTCCCCAAAAGCCAGTACAAGCAGTAGAGATGAATCCTGGTGCCACTACCAGTGGCCCTGCAGTCTGCCCAGCCATGCAACTGTCACCCACATTCAGAGGGACTAATTTGGACCTATACTTGCTCCTTCCCAGTCCGGCTGGGGTTGGTGAGCTCGGAGGCATCACCATCCCTGACATCAAGCTCTATTTTAGAGCTACAGTAATGAAAACAGCTTGGTATTGGCATAAAAACAAAAAAGTTGACCAATGGAATTGATTCAAAGACCTGTGTATTAATCCACACACCTATGAAAACCCCATTTTTGACAAAGAAGCTAAAATTATACAATGAAAAAAAGAAAGCATCTTTAACAAATGGTGCTGGCATAACTGGATGTCAACATGTAGAAGAATGAAAATAGATCCATATCTATCCCCATGCACAAAACTCAAATCCAAATGGATCAAAGACCTCAATATAAATCCACCCACATTGAACCTGATAGAAGAGAAAGTGGAAAGTAGCCTTCAATGCATGAGCACAGCAGACCACTTTCTAAATATATGTAACTTCCTAAATATATATATGTCAGCAGCACAGACACTGAGAGCAACAATAAATAAATGGGACCTCCTGAAATTGAGAAGCTTCTGTAAAGCAAAAGACACTGTCAATAAGACAAAAAGGCAGCTTACTGAATGGGAAAAGATCTTCACCAACCCCACATTAGACAGAGGACTGATCTCCAAAATATATAAAGAATTCAAGAAATTTGATATCAAAATTCCAAGCAACCTAATTAAAAAATGGGGTACAGGGGGCTGGAGAGATGGCTCAGAGGTTAAGAGCTTTGCCTGCTCTTCCAAAGGTTCTGAGTTCAATTCCCAGTAACCACATGGTGGCTCACAACCATCTGTAATGGGGTCTGGTGTCTTCTTCTGGCCTGCAGGCATACACACAGACAGAATATTGTATACATAATAAATAAATAAATAAAGTGGGGTCCAGAACTAAACAGGGAGTTCTCAACAGAAGAATCTCAAATGGCTTAAAGACACTTAAAAAAATGTTCACCATCCTTAGCCATCAGGGAAATGCAAATCAAAACAACTCTGAGATACCATCTTACACCAGTTAGAATAGCTAAGATAAAAAAAAAAAACACACCAATGATAGCTTATGCTGGAGAGGATGTGGAGTAAGGAGAACACTCATCCATTGCTGGTGGGAATGCAAACTTGTACAACCACTTTGGAAATCAGTATGGTGGTTTTTCAGAAAATTAGGAATCAACCTACCTCAGGACCCAGCAATACCACTCTTGGGCATATACCCAAAAGAAGCTAAATCATACTGCAAGAACCTTTGTTCAGCTATGTTCAGAGCAGCATCATGTGTGAACCTGGAAACAATCTAGATGCCCCTCAACCGAAGAATGGATAAAGAAAACGTGGCACATTTACACATTAGAGTACTACTCAGTGGTAAAAAACAATGACATCTTGAAATTTGCATACAAATGAATGGAACTAGAAACAAAAAGCCTCCTGAGTGCCGGGCGGTGGTGGCGCACGCCTTTAATCCCAGCACTCGGGAGGCAGAGGCAGGCGGATCTCTGTGAGTTCGAGGCCAGCCTGGTCTACAAGAGTTAGTTCCAGGACAGGCACCAAAAACTACAGAGAAATCCTGTCTCAAAAAATCAAAAAAAAAAAAAAAAAAAAAAAAAAAAAAAAAGCCTCCTGAGTGAGGTAACCCAGACCTAGAAAAATGAACATGGTATGAACTCACTCATAAGTGGATACTAGCTGTGAAGCAAAGGATGATGAGCCTATGGTTCATGATACTAGAGAAGCTAAGTAACAAGGTGAACCCTAAAAAAAATACATAGATCCACCTGGAAAGGGGAAATAGACAAGATAGCCGGACAAAATTGGAAGCATGGCGGTGGAGAGGGAAGAGAGGGCAGAAGGGGAGAGGAAAGGAGAACGGGAAGGGCTAGGGGAATTTGAGGGAATGGGGTAGTCAAGATGGAGGAAGGACAGAGATGAGAGCAGGAAAGAGATATTTTGATTGAGGGAGCCATTATGGGGCTAGCAAGAAACCGGGAACTAGAGAAATTCCCAGGAATCCACAAGGATGACCCCAGCTAAGACCCTAAGCAATAGAGGAGAGGGTGCCAGAACTGGCCTTGCCCTGTAGTCAGACTGATGACCATCTTAAATATCACCATGGAACCTTCATCCAGCAACTGATGGGAACAGAGGCAGAGACCCACAGCGGAGCACTGGGCCGAGCTCCCAAAGTCCAGCTGAAGAGTGGGAGGAGTGAGAATGTGAGCAAAGAGGTCAAGACCATGACGGGGGCACCTTTCCTGAGCCTTTCTTCTCTTTTTATGCAACCGCAGCTGCTTGAATGCTGGAATTTCTAGATGAATCCTCCAGCTTTCTTCTGTTTTTCATTGCTGTGGGGTTTTTTTTTTTTCTGTTGTTTTTGAGACAGGATCTTACACTATAGCTCAGGCTGGCCTGGAAGTCTTATGTAGCACAGGTTGGCCTCAAATTTGGGGCGATCCTCATTCTTTAGCCCCCCTCACTCTTTAGCGGCCCAAGTACTGGGATTACAGGCACGAGCCATCACAGCCAACTCTGTGCTCTTTACTGCATGGTATTTTCAACTCCAGTCTCTCGAGTTCCCACCTTCTCATTTGCAGTGTACGGGGCTCTTTTTACTGTTCCCTTATTACAGTGTCTTGCTCTTGTTTTAGGGATGTAATCTTTTATACAGACAGAGTGATATTCATAGTTGGGTCTTTTGTTGGTTTGTACGGTTGGTGGGATTGTTTTTATTCATGCTACACACATTCTGTGTTAGGGATGGAGCCCAGAGCTTTGCACAGGCTAAACAATTGCTCTACCACTGTGTGACATTGTCCATTCCCTGCATAAACCTTTGAACCTTCGAGCGGTTTTCCCTTCCCCACTAATTTGGGTCTGACCTCCCATATTTGACACTTTCTTTGGGTATGGGTAAACCTTGACTGTCTGTCTTCTTATTAAAATGACAGTTTTTTGAAACTCTCCGAGTAAGCAGGTGAAACCTCCCTGCTGTGACTTCTACAATGGCCGGTCAGGAAACGGCAGTTTCTAGCTACAGACCTTTCCTCCTGGGCTTACCGAGTTCCTCAAATAGAAAGCCTTCCATCTGGAGTAAAGGTCTGTTTGTAGAGGCCTGGGAACCCGGAGGGTGAATGCTTTGGGTAGTGGCAAGGTAGCCTTGGCATTCATTTTGCACGTGGTCATTTGAACCCCGGCTGTGGTGCTGGGGATAGGCTGCGGGCAGGGGCAGAGCAGCCATAGGCAGCTATGCAGTTTTCAGGTGAGCCACAGCATGTCTGGGGCAGGACAGCAGTAGGGCCACGTGTGCAGGGCTCAGTAGCTTGGGGGCATCAGCTTCTGGGTAGCTGCTGAGCACTGCCACACAGCTGGGTCACACCATGAGTCTAAATGTTGCAGCTGTGAGAGACTTAACAGAAAAGAAAAGCGACCCATTTCACTATTTTTTTTTTACATTGATGATGTGTTGAATTGGCAATGTCTTGGATGTTGTGGTTAAGTATGAACTGTGACTAAGCTTGAGTGTGCCTACTGCCACTGAAGAATGTGGGTGTCGGATGATTCCAGTGCACGCGTCACTTCCTGGTATGCCTTGGGCTGTTTCTGTTGAAGACCTGATTCCCGGTCCTTTGAAGGTGAAGGTCACAGGATGTGCTGATGAAAGAGAAGGGACTTCAAGGTGACCTCAAACATTGGGCTGGAAAAGCTAGGAGGATGGCGGAGACTTGAGCAGGGGTGGGGAAGGCTGTGGTCTGGACATACATGCCTAGCATGTTTGCCAGTGCATGTGTGCGCTTATGATACATGTAAGTGGAGGAGGCAAAGGGGCAGTTGGGGGTGCAGGCCCCAAACTCAGGGGCAGCTGAGGTTGGAGGAGCGGGTTCTGTGCAGAGAGAGAGCTCAAGCATTCAGGTCACAGGACTTGGTGAGGCCCTGCCTTCCAGGTGCTCTACAGCGTCCAGAATCATTTTCTGATTTTGTCGGTTGGTGGGTTTATGTATTTATTTATTTGGTCTTGTTTTGTTTTGTTTTTAGCTACTCATTATTTCAGTGGGAAGGAGCCAGGCTGCCTGTGTGTATGCTTCTCCAGCCATGACTACACACCTTTGTCTGCTAAATGCAGGCTGTGCAGCCGTTGTTCTTCTGGGCCCTCCTTATGGTAGAAGAGGACTGTGCGTAAAATTGTATTATTGGTGAAGTTTCTTTTATCTTAAATGCTTGATACCGGAAGTATTTCGGATACTTTTGGGATCTGAGAATATTTCCATAAACAATGAATACATTGGCAGTCTGACCCATGTCTAAGCACAGAAGTTATTTAGAGTTCATAGAGATGTGGCCTGAAGGCCCTTTTACACAATGTTTCAATTTTCCATTTGTGACATCATGTTGGCACTCAAAAGGTTTTGGATTTAAGAGCATTTGGAGGTCTTCGGATGTCTAACTTTTAATAGAAACCTTCCCACACTTCTCCTCCCCCTCCATCAGCATTCTTGAAAAACGTAATGGCCTTTTCTTGGTCTGTAGGCGAGAAGGCTGCTTGATCTTGCCACAGTGAAGGCGAATGGACTGGCTGCCTTCCTTCTGCAGCACATCAAGCAATTACCTTCGCTGCCCCTGACTCACGAAGGTATGTATTTGTCCCTTTAGGGTAACAGGAAAGAAAAGGAAGTCAACTGAGATTCCTGGTTAAAGAGCAAAGCCCACGTCAGTTAACGCCCATGTACTGGTGCGTTATTCCTTCAGGCTCAGTTCCTCCATTTGAGTCACTGGGCAGAAGGGGAGATTGAAGGCCTGACAGCACAGTGACTCTTCCCCTTTCACTGCTCCCTGAACTATGGTGCTCACTGCAGCCATGGCTTGTGGAGGGCTAGCTGTGGGAATGCCTTGCTGTCTAAACTGCATTCCACATCAGGCAGAGATAGGCCTGGGATCTCTTGGTCCACAAAACCTAGTTTCTCATGATCTGGAATGCATCAGCAGGCAAATTTAGAGAATATCGTCTCACCCATGTCCATGCTCAGCAGCTGAGTAGTGCAAGAAGCCTGGGTGGCATGGCTGAGACATGCATCTTATGGGCATTCTCTACCATCTACTCACAGTCTTGAGTCATGAATATTGCTATGTTCCATTCTCCAGATGGGAAAACTGAGACTCGAGTGGCAGGGAACAGTAAGTGGGTCTGACTGTCATGTCCCTACCTTCCCTCCTTGGGAAAAGAAAGCATGAGTTTCAGAGAGGATCCAAGCCCGGTAGTCTCCCAGTCTTGTTCCCATGTAACTGAAAAGAAAGCTAATGTGGACTGGGGGTCCATGAACTATGTGCCTGGAGCTAACAGATGGGCTTAGCGTTCTGGTCTTGCCCTCTGTGCAGGCGAAAACCTGTAGGCAGGATGGCTGGAGGCCTGTGCTTGGTACTCAGGTGTATACTACTTCGTACAAGAGCAGGGGATGGGCATTGCCGTATGGTAGCCAGTATGGCCCTTGGCGAGCAATTGCTGACAATGTCATCAAGTATAGCGGGCCATAGAGGCATTTTACGGTTCCCTGATAGGAGATGCTTCTTAAGACTGTCGTTGAGCAGCAGGACATGATTACAGACACCTGTGGGTAGAGGCAGAAAGATCAGGAGTTCAAGGTCGTGTGTGTGTGTGTGT